ATTTTGCCGCTTTGGCAGAAGCCCCAGCCATTATTATTAAGAAGCTGATGGGTTCCGCAAAACCAGTCTTTTACAATTTATCCTGAAGCAGAACACCTTACAGTTGTTAAGTCAACTGGTTAGGAGAAGAAGAAGAAATAATGTCCAAATGAGGATGGAGTGACATTAGTAATAATTATTTAGCTTTTTATTTTAAATTAGACATTTACGGCCTGTGTTTTGTTTGATCCATCCACCTTCACCCCTTGCCTGTAACAGAATTAAAAAATATAATGTCTATTGATTTGATTTAATAATGACACTGATGTGTTTAGATAGGAGTTACTTGAAAACCCTGGTTCATCTCATATAGATACTAAAGGGTGCTTGTGCGACTTTATCAAGATGACAACGACTTTGATTACGCCCTGGGAGTGAAAAAAGGTTGTGTCATGCTATCTCTGTATTCAATCAAAAGTTAATTGACAGATGGCGAAGGTTTCAAGAAGCCCTCGCCTTCCTGCAGTTCAGAAGACTCAGAAAAACTGCTGATACTCCGTGGAAACTGTTGATTTATTACGTATTGCATAAACTTAATGGAGGTGTTCCTTCAGCTGGAAGATCTTCTTGTTTACGGTAGCTTTAAACAATCTTGAGAACGATTGCCAAGCCAACGGAGTGTGTAAGAATGTGACTAAACAGAACACCATGTTCACCAATGAGCAGTTTTTCCATTTGCACAAATTCAGATGAAGATGTGTCCACTAAAACGTTGAGTGAACCTGCAAACACTTGCCATTCAGTAAGAGATGTGTTTCAATCCCTGTTTACACTCGAAGCTGAGCACAGTTGTATGGTTTAAACATTACACAGGGAGAGCTTTGCCTTCACTGTCAAACACTTCACAGATGCACCCTAAGCCTGCTGTGTCAGGGATTGCACATTTTTGCTTACAAACGTGTCATTGTCAACTCTACACACCCCAAGGCAATCCCATCAAACAGACACAAAGGCCAGACGTCCTCCAAGGTGTGTCAACACAGCAAAGCGCGTCAAAAACCTCAGACATGCTTTGTAGTGCTGGTCTTTAATGGTGGCGAGATTAAAGACACTGTGGCAGCGATCTAACTGTTATATCCCGGTAAACAGACACAAGAGGCTGCTCATCTACTGTAAACCTGACAGAGCTTAAGCAAAGCCTAAATAACCAGTGTTAGCACCTGGTGTGTATGTGCATGTGTGTTTGCTGAACCTGTAAATCAGGACAGGTCTGCACACGTCAGCCAGTGAGCTTTTCAGACTTCTTATTGAAGGAGGAAATCTTGGAGGAGAATAAAAGCAATTAAAGAAAAGCACTGAAACAAAAAGGACAGAGTTTCTTTTTTTGACTTTTTGCCAAGTTTTCTAATTAGCCAGCTAAACATAGGTACTGACCTTGTCTTTTACTTAGAGCTGAAAAATAACAACATGCAGATTCTGTTTATTGCTAGTGGCATTTTCCTGGGATTTTGCCAAGGAAGTATGTCAGTTGAAGGCTTATGCTTACAGGTCAAACACCACTTTTTCGTTATAAACATTTTAAAGGCAAACAAGAGAACAAGGTGAAGTTTAAAAAAGGGCACATACCACACTACTAAGCTTTCAGTCAACACCACACAAAGCACAAACCAGTGTTTTCTTGGGGTCCTAACAGCAAAGATTGTCAACATGGAAATCGTGTGTTTCAGTACTTTTTTGGTGGGATTAGCTGTCCTGCTTTTAATCAAACTATTGTGGTGGTCGACTGTGATGTCCCTCCGCCTCCATGAGACTCAAAAGACACACACAATTCAGATTTGACACCTAATCATGCAAATCTTATAAATACAGTATAAAAAGTCTGGTAATTATCATGTCTGCTCTAGAAAGAAATTTGATTCCGGTGTTGTGAAAATCAAAAACGTTGTTCGCAAAAGCAACTTGAAACAAATTATAGACAACAGGATTTTTCTAAACTCCTGCCAAAATACAAAATAAACAAAGGACTTGTGTGTTTATTTTTTAGAGCAATGTGGGATTTTAACCACAGCAGGATGAGATTGCAATTGTACACCTTAGATTTCTCAGGAAAACAAGATGAGTAAGACTGCTGGCTTGTTTTATCATGCCGTACTGTTTTACCAACACAATAGCCAAAGGCAGACGTGATTGCAGCATAACAGATATGAGAAGTGAGATTCTGCCGAGCTGTAATCAGTTCCAACATGCTTTCCTCACATTCTGTATTTGATTAGCTAATCCTCTACATCCACACAGTATATTCAGACATCCTCCTGCTCTGTCTGTCAGCCTGGGACTGTTTTGACTGATCTGCAGGCACATGCTCCTTGTAAACATGAGCAGCTGGCTACTATAGTAAATCCCTACATGGTGCTTTGGCAGTGGATGGACATGATCAATCAATATAATCCACTTACCCTCGATGGACGCAGATTACTTCAAGGTTAAACAACCGGATCTTCTGAATGAATGGCCACTGATAAGCCAGTTGGTGATATTAAAACTGTTTCCATTAGCTGTGCCATTAGAGCATTAAGCTGTGAACTAAACCAATCGGGCATAGTGTGTATTTTCCATGGGTAGGTGTATTGTAAATTATGATTTAAATGGCGTTTCCTGTACCCCCTTGTGCGGGAAGCAGGTGGACTTATCTGCGTCCAGCGGGCCACTTTACAGTATCTGTGAACGTAAGCGGATGCACATTAATAGGCAGGAAAGGATTGAGGTAGCAGAAAACCTAAACACAATGCAGCCAGGATTTGATGCCGGGAAATACTGTAAAGTCATTATGTCGCCAGGAACGACCTCCCGCTGATTGCTGTTTTATAGCTTTAAGGAATTCTTCAAAGACCCACACGGTTCCACTGTGCCACCGTGCCAAGCTCTCCATTTCCCAATGACGCACGACGGGCGCGCGGAGATGGAGGTAAAGGGTCCCCGCGGACAGACAATCAGGGTTTTCTCTTTTACTTTGAAACTTGATTGTTCAGTGAGTCTCTAAACGGCCATCCTGTTACGTCTAAAGATCACTCTTGGGATGTGAAAAAAACACAAGCAAACTTTTGGAAAACCCGGATGCCAAAAAAAACCAGCCAAACAGATAAGTTCGTTTCATTGAAAATATGTAGTTCTTCCAGTTCTGCCAATAAACTATATATACATACACCTGGATAAGTCACACTAGATTGTATTATCAATATAAATATAGTGTGGAACAACAACCCCTCGGTTAACACACTCACACTTAACCGGGGTCTCACCTGAAGCTGCGAGTCCAGACAGGACGGTGAGCCAACAGAGCCCTTTTACGCACATTGGATGGACGGCAGGCTGTCCGATGACAACGAGACCGTAAGTCAATAAACCCACTGAGGCTCCTCCGCCGACTCAATGCCTGGAAACCCGGTGGATAAGTCTGTGGATCCCCTTAAGAGAGGGATAACAACGTGTAGTTACACAGTGTCCTCTCCTCCACCTATTCTCTCCAAAGACGCGTCCCAACTCGCCGCTGCGCTCATACATCTAATTTCAGCACCCTCCCACCACATTTTGGGGCGGAGTAACAAAGTCATTCAATTTCCTCTCTACCATCTTATCTCTCTCTCTCGCTCTATCTCGCTCTCTCTGACACACACACACGCACGCGCACACACACACACACACACACGTTATACTTAAGACCCGCACATTCTTGACTGTCACCAAACCTGTTCTGCTGCTGCGTAAAAGCCATAACGTTCCATACCACATCTTTTGCGTTAACACATCCGTATTATAGAGAATTTTAAACATCCAATGCATCATCTTATATTATGTAAGTAAGACATTTGAGGCATTGAATTCCTCTTGACATAATAATGTCATATAATATAACATATTATAACTTAAATGTGTAGGATGATTGGGACGTTAGCTCTCCTCAACTCCTGGATCACATTGAACTCATTACAATTATTATCTAATCGTCAAATTCAATTAAAAAGTCAGTTAATTAAATCTATTGAATTTGTCAGAGATACAATATGGTTACAGGGAAATTCAACTTAAGCAGTTGTAAAAAAAAAAGATGAAATAACACAGTGAGGGCTTTGTCCACGTGTAAAACAAAAGAAATAAGACTGGTTGGACTGCCTTCACTGTGAAACAAACAGGGATAACTTCATTTCAGAAGTTATTCTCCCTCCTGGAAACTAGCAGAAAGTTGGACAGAAGTTTTAATACCAACTGGCTTGTTATTTTTTTTAACCACATGGGGGCAGAGCTGCACTTTGATGTCTGTGATTTTACCCTGAAGCCTGTCAAGAAGATCAGAACCATGGTACTCAGTTCTTAACGGCAAGTGACTGTAGATTAACATTGCATACAATTGCAATAAAGTACATTTATTGTTAAGTTAACCACACGTTTTTGATAGTCAAACTAAAAAAGTATCAAATGTTTAATACCACAATTGTGACCTGCAGATATTTGACATTTTTTAACTGCTACATATCAACTTTATAATTTGCAAATAAGGTCATGAAGTTTGATATAAAATACAAATTAAGATCTGAGATAAAACCAAGAGTATTGTATATTATTTAACAGTTAGTAATTGGCATTAAAAAAAAAAAAAGTCTGACTGTATACATTACTCAGTAAAGCTCGATTAAGAGACAATCAGAAATAAAAAATATAGTTTATTTCCATACAACATGCTCATTAAGTTTGACTTCATTTTGAAGTCTCAACATGAATTAATCTTGAAAAAACACTTCCTGTGTGTGTCTGTGTGTGTGTGTGTGTGTGTGTGTGTGTGTGTGTGCGTGTGTGTGTGTGTGTGTGTGTGCGTGCGTGCGTGCGTGTGTGTGTGTGTGTGTGTGTGTGTGTGTGTGTGTGTGTGTGTGTGTGTGTGTGTGTGTGTGTGTGTGTGTGTGTGTGTGTGTGTGTGCATGTGCGTGCATGTGTGTGTCTGTGGAGAGAGCGAGAGCGAGAGGGAGAGATAGAGAGACAGCGACAGAACAAGTAGAAGACGGAGGGTGAACAACCAAGTCTACTTTTTTATAATCTTTTTGGTCTTATTGCATGAGAATCTTGATGTTTCTTATATATTGTAGCGGATACGTCAACAAATCTGACCTATAGAGCAGAAACTCTAGAAACAATCTAAAAAAACAGAGGTTGTGTGAAGAAGATGAGCAGCATGTGTGTTCGGGCCGCGCTTGCAGTCCTCCTCCTGTTCATAGCTACCGTTGAGGCTGATGAAGGTAAATATCAGTTGTAAATTATATTTTATTTTATTTTTACTTAATATTTCAAAGTTATAAAGTTTAAATATATTGGTCTGCATTTCGGAACAACAGACATTCTGACAATAAATATGACTGTTAAGAGCAACTTCTGCAATTTCCTGTATTTCCTTAACTGCTGCTACTTTCCTTTGTTTTACATCCTACTTCTTTCTCATGATGATTTGATTGACTTTTGTTGTTATGTATTATGCTCCTTCGTTGCCTGTTTTGCTTATTTTTGTCCTTTTCTTGTGGGCTGTTATTTAGGACATTTCAAGCTTTTTATAAAACATTAGCAGGATTGAATTCACACTAAAATAAAAAATTCTTCATATTTATATAATGTGAGTTGAGTAGAAACCAGCCTCAGCTCTCTGATAATAATCATTTCACCCTGAAAACAAATGAGGAAGAAGGGTCCAGATGAAATGAAAGAAAAACTAAAGCAAGTGCACTGAAGTCAACTTAACATCTGTGTCTGTGTTTTAAGGAGGAGTAACATTCTGGGGAGAAGAATTCACAATGACCTGTCCGGAAGAAGGGAAGTTTTTTAAGGAAGGAAAAGAACTAACTGAAGAAAAGCATAAGCATACACTCAAGTATGATGACAAAGGCTTATACCACTGTGCCTACGGAGAAAATAAATATTATTTCTACGTGAGGGGAAAGAGTGAGTGAAACAAAATAAAAAATAAAAATGTCTCATGATGTGCCATCTGTGTTAGTTGTCCTTAATGCTACTCTTTGTCCTCTAGCTTGTACAAACTGCTTTGAGGTGGACGCAAATCTGTTTGGGCTGGCCATTGCTGCAGACGTGGTGGGGACGTTAATTGTGATGATCATTATCTACAGGTGCACCAAGAAGAAAAGCTCAGCTGGACCCCTTCAAACTTCCAAAGGTAAGAACCCACCCAAGCATGTTTCATTACTTCAGTTAATGGTTAGCTGATGTCCCTCGGACTCAAGCTTTAATCATGCATCTGAGTGTTGATTTTTCAGTAAGACCTATCTGCACTGAGAAATAGGATTAAAGACTATACATGCAGCTACAATGCAAATCTTATTTCAGTTATTATAAGCATAGTGTAAAATCTGGTGTCGGTTTCCCTCACTTCCTCATAAAGCATACTTTGTCTGTAAGCATGCACAATCGACTATAGAGAATTCATTTTAGGTGTGTACTGGGTCTGATAACACAATGATTTTAAATATATTTATTTCTGTCCTCCTCGTATAGCAACTGCTCGTAAAGGAGGCCGGGCTCCAGCTGTCCCATCTCCTGACTATGAGGTACGTTTTGTATTTGCACTCGATTTTGAGATGCATTTTACTTGTGCATTTAACATTTGCGTCTTCTCTACAGGGACAACAAATAATCATAGCCAAAGTCTTCAATGTTTTAATAATACATACAAATATGACGTCAGACAGTGTCCAGTGTCATTGCAAAAGAAACATTTAAAAATAAATTAGAGCTTATTTTACAGAGCATTATTTTTGAATCCTTTCGTTTTGAAAAATATTAAAGAATAGTTCACAGGGTGCTATGGGTGGTTAGCGTAGCTTAGCATAAAGAGTCAGAGCAGGAGATAAACTAGCCTACCAGCACCTGTAAAGCTAACAGAATATTTTCTTTGTTTAATCTGTATAAAAATGAAGTCTAAAAACGCAACAATGTAGCTTTTATAATAGTCCAGGAAGTCACAATTCAGGCCAAGAAATGATCCAGCAGGTAACCCTTCGGAACATCGTAAGTGAATATACTGAACAAAATTGACAATGTATTTATTTTTAGTTTACTATTGTCCCTGGAAGCCATGTGTTACTATGGTTATCAGATTTCTTCTGCATTGTGACCCTACCATCCTAAATCAAAAGTGTTTTACACATTATCAGGGAATATCAGGACCCTGTGATCGAGCTAACGCTGGTTATGTTGTGCTTTGCAGCCTCTGAACCTTCAAACTCGCTCCCAGGACCCTTACTCTGTGGTGAACCGGATGGGATAGAGACAGGTCACCGGACTGGGGCAGGTTGAAGCAGACATTCACAAAAGACATGCATGAACATCTGTCATGCTACGGAAGCCGGCAAACGCTGGTTATCGCTCTCCTGGATTCAAGCGGTCGCTGAACTCAAATCATAGCCAAATATATTCCCAGTTACTCCCAGTATCGCATAGCCAGTCACTGTAATATGTCCAGGTGTTCTGCCCCATCATGATACAGGTGAAAATAATGAATAATGTAATAATGTAATAATGTAAAAAGGTAGGCAGAAAAAAACATCCTGGTATGTCTTTCTTTATATATGTTGCCTTATAGGATCAATTACCAACCAAAAATGTAAAATAAAAATGAATTTATTAAATAATAATAGGATATTACCGAAATGTAAACACAAAAAGAGTTTAACAAAAGTTTTTGATGCTACTCTTCCATGTATTTATTGTCATAATAATCCATGAACTCTTCTAACTGTCTTGTTGTCACCAGGTGTGACTATTGAGAATGAGTAAAACGTGAGTTTAAATGCAGACTTGGCTGACTACTAAACAAAAAAAAGGCGTAAAACTCAAGCATCAACCTTGTACACTTTGTAAATACTACTAAATCAATCAAACGTAATACTACTGAAAAGTCCTCACGTCTATCCCCTTCGTCTAAAGCAATTGAATGAAGGGTCACTTGAGTAAATGTTTTGGATTTTGGTTATAAATGTAATCTTTAAAGAAAGCGAGCAACAACAATTCCAATCGTGTCTAATGTGCGGAAGCAGAAATCTAAAGACAAAATAAAACCAAAACGATTTGCTTGGTTAGGCAGCTTCAGAGGTTAGCGTGTAAACAGGTTTGACTTTTAAATATGCATTATATACCTAGTTTTTAAATGCTTATGTTAATTAAATGATATGTTAAAGCATTGAGGTGGTAATGCTGCACTGGACTGCCTTGTATTCAGATGTGTTTCAGATATTCCGACCGCTCTTGATTTTTAACAGAAAGGACAAAGAATACAATCAAAATCAAACTAAATAATAAACATAGAAGTGTGTACTGGGTTGCATTATTTAGATACAGGTGTACCTCATAAAGAAGCCCCTGAGTGTAAATATATGTCTTTATATTGTAGGCCTACTTATCTTTTAATATAAACATATTATTTACAATACTGTAAAATACAACAACAACAAATATGTCTTTTCAAATATAGAGAGAGCAATATACGTTGTTCTTGTATATAATCTATGTTTATGCAATTATATGTTCTGACTAGCAAATAATGTTGGTCACACATGTAAAACGTTGGTGCACAAACTCATTTTGCTCATCTATTCTGCTTTTTTTTTTAATGTCCCTGCTACTGTAATTACACTGTACTGTGTCACTAATAAATAATTCACACCCAAGTATGTTCTCATTTCCTTCTGTGCAAATGTTTAAAAACTATTTCTCTGATGCTTCTTCAGAAATGACTACATCCGATTCACGAAACGGTCTAAAAACCGCAGCTCATATCCGTAGCCCTCCCACATGCATACCATCACTATCGATTTGTTTTCATGGCTAGAGTCTCTCTCATGTGAGTGACATATCTGACTGTCTTCGGAAACATCTTAAATATGTCTGAAACTTGTCTCAATGCATAAACAGGATTTTCAAACCAATAGTGCACATAATGGAAATGTTGTGTCACGATTTGGCCTTTTTCCCGGCAGTGACTGAGCAAATGAAACTCGGAAATATGATGTATGATTTCTAATTAATGCAGACGACTACTGATTTGGTACGCTTATTATACACCATGCAGCTCTGGAAACACTCCCACACTCACTGCTCAGTTATCTTCAATCTAACATCAGCTGTGTGTTTGTGTGAGAGAGAAACAAAGAAATGGGGGTTGTCGTTGCACCTCTATGTTGCTGCTTTAGTTCAGTCAAACCGCTCCCACACACAGACCTACATCTGCTCCACAGCCACGTACGAACATACACAAGTGTGCACGTGTGTTTGAAAGTGTGTGCACATGCATTGAGTCTGAAGTTGTGCGTGTGGTGGGGGGGATTGCGTTTCTGAACAGAGCTGTCTGAACTTTGTTGTTTGATCTCTCGCCTCTTCCTCAGATAGAAAGAAGCTGCAGTATGTAGCTTTGTTACAGCAGTGTCAAGAACAAGGCAGAAAACTCAGAGCAGCGATCAAAGAATTTAAGCTATAAGATTAGCTGACATGGAGGGGAGCTTCCTCTTGATCAGATAGTCTCTGCTCCTCTTCCTCTATAACCTTTTTGTCTCATACCCGCTCTTCTCTTTACTCTTGTTATGTATTTTTTTCCATCTCTCAATGTCAAAACATATCCTCTCCTTTTCATATAGTTTCTGCTACAGACAGAAATAGACCTCTGAAGACTCTCGACCTTACAGGATAGTTATGAAACACTAGTGTTGTAGCACTTTTTAAAGGTCTTGGTCTTGTCTCGGAATCAACTGCATTTGTACTCGGTCTTGTCTCGTTCTCGGACCTATAGGACTGGAGATTTTATGTCAAGACAGGTCAAGAGCACGGCTGCGGCTAGGGATGTGATTGGGTGTAAAACGCCCTGTTTCAAATGCCACCAATAACGTGACTAAACTGACTTACTTTAAAGCACTCAAGAGACTCCAAATCTTTGCGCTCATGCGCCGCAATGTTTGTAAACATGGGATTGGTCTATAACGGTTGTTACCCCCTCACCTCTCCCCACCCTGTTCCCACACACTCAAACAGTCTTTTTATGATGAAGTTGGGATATTTTAGATAAAATTGACCATGGTATCTTTCACATTTTATTGTAAGTGTATCGTGTAGTGTTGGATTCACACTAGTCTGGTTCCGGTCTTGATTCGGTCTCGCCCAGCCTTGGTCTTGATTTGGTCTTGACCTCTTAAAGTCTTGGTCTTGTCTTGGTCTTGCTAAACGACGGTCTTGGTCTTGACTTGGTCTTGACTTGGTCTTGACTTGGTCTTGACCTCTCAAAGTCTTGTTCTTGTCTTGGTCTTGGTAAACTCCGGTCTTGGTCATGACTTGGTCTCAGTTCAGGTGGTTTTGACTACAACACTATGAAACAAAAATATCAGTAGCAAGTGGTGCATGAAGTATTCCAATCTTTAAGTAAAATAACCAAATAAACCAACAAAAAATACAGACATTAAAAATAAGAAAGACACAAATGAAAGCTTCTTATTTACAAGTACAGATTATCGTCACAATGTACTTAAAGTTATCATCCATAAGATTTTTGATTTGCGGACACCTGTGCTAACAGCTGGCAACAGTGAGACTGCAGGAAAATGGCGGACTCCACCACTGAAAAAGCAGCAATGAAAAATTGTAAAACTGGGTTGGACTTCTTGGAAATGTTGAGGATTTTAACTTTAAAGTATCAAAAATAAAAATGAAAACAATTTGGAGGAAATATATATCACAATATTAGATGAATACTGGTGCATTTTACTGTAGCTGATCAAGGCTGAGTTTGAATAGTGTCATAGGCAGTTTGTTGTTGCAGTATAATGTTTTTCAAAAACTTTTCTTCTAATCTTTTAATTGGTGAAACATTGGATGATTAGACATATTTGAGCTGTGTAAAATATTTTTAAAAACTGTCTTACGGGTTTTAGAGGGGAAATTTCTTTTTGTGGAGGTGTGAACAGCTTTCTTGACACCAGAAACGTGACAAGGTGTTACTTGTAAGGAGACTTTTGTATAAGAGGCCCACAAACCAAACATGGTGGGAGCCATGGTGTTAAACAGTGTGGTAAAATGTAAGTCAAGTCACACTTGACAAATAAACATAGGGCATTCAAAAGCTTGGTTTTAACGTCTGTGCGTTTTTGGCGAAATAAATATTGTACCTAACTGAACCTGTATCATGGTACAAGAGCTTACCTGAGTCAACCCTTGTGTGGTGTTCATATTTTTGTTACTCAGCCTGTGTTCGTGGGTCTGGTTAAAATACTCAACAGATGTTTACTTAATATTTGCCTTTTACATTTGTTACATGTAAACATTACATTAATGAATTAAAGTGCTACTTGTTTTTTTGCCCGCTGACCGGCTGGTCCTGTGGCTCGTCTTTTCTTTGTAACTAGCTGATGCTCAATCTCATCCTCTTCTTCAAAGTCACTGTCAGACTCAGAAGTCTCAGAAATGTGATCTTCACATTCTGAAACCTCTTCATCATCATCAAATGGTTCTCTCTCTTCCAGAATCATCTGCAAGGCCCTCTGAGAAGAGAATCTGTTGGCCATCTTGATCAGTTGTGATAAGGACCCAAACTGGCGCCCCAAATTTGAAACTTGGATAGAGTGTGAAAAAAACAGGCAGCTGATATATGTTCTTCACTGAAAATGCGCCAAGGCCATTGAGTGTGAGTTTGAAAAAAATAATTGATCATACAATGTTTCTTTAGATAAATAATGAAACACGTCCCACAGACCCGGACACCACACAATTAACCTATATTTTCTGAAGATTCAACTGAAATCACAATCAGGCAAGTGCACAGATAGACCTCAAATGGGACTTGAGCACATGCCCTTTTGCTCTCCTATTGGAGAAGTGCCCTTTTTTGAATGAACTGTTTTTACAAATCCGTATCATTATCTCACATAAAGCAAAGAAAAGGATAAACCTGTGTCTAATACACCTTATCTAATGTGTTGCTTTTTATAATTGTGTCCTTAAGTATCTTATGAAATGTGAATTATGTTATACTAATTTGTTGGCACAGTATCTTAGCCATACAATATCAGCATCTTCCTATTGCCTGTCATCACTGAACCATTGTTCCTGATGCATTTATGGAAAGGTGGTAAGAGAAAAAAGGAGGCAAGAGAGTGGCAACATCTTTGCAGGCAGTACTGAGCTGTATAGATCAGAGTTGGGCTATATCTGTTAGAAGAATGTACTGAAATATAATTCATTTTTCTGCACGTATCATTAATAAACTGTCAAGTATCAGTGTTTGAACCAACCCTAGTCATAGGTTTATTTAAATACATACATTGTATATCCCTTCAAACTGTCACACAAGTAGTTATATCAGGCATATATTTATTTAAAAGTTACAAAAAATGGCTGATTGCCTTTTTATGAATTTGGGCTCATGCCCCTCTAACATCCTCTGCACGTGCCTGATAACAACTACAGTGAAGGTCCTGATTTAATATTAAATGTTTTATTAAAGGCTCTCTGTAGCACTGCTGCCATCTAGCGGAACATAATATATTATCCACTGCTGAAAACAGAATGCGTTCAACCCAGATTAAATAGGGATATTTTCAACAACACACTGTTTAATAAAGAGGCACAAATCAGTTAAAACGAGCTGGTATATTCTGTGAAGTAGGTATATTTTTTATAATTACCTTATGCCGCAAACATCATATGGACATTTCTATACATATAACGTTTAATTGTGCTGGGAATGACTGGCTAAATGTAAACAACCTAGAATAAAAACTGCAAGCTAATTTATTGAATAATTAAAAGACAGTTATAGGCTAATGTGTCGCACTGTCGTCATGTTAGCCTCATCATATATCAGGTTTCTCTTTCACATGCTTCTTTCAAAGGTTCTGTTCTGCAATCTCTCCGCCTGTGCCCCTATCTTATCTTTACAGGCTTGAAGAATCCCAGACACTCATGCAATAGTATGTGTGTCAGCTGTGTGTGTGTGTGTGTGTGTGTGTGTGTGTGTGTGTGTGTGTGTGTGTGTGTGTGTGTGTGTGTGTGTGTGTGTGTGTGTGTGTGTGTGTGTGTATGTGAGTGTGAATACAAGTTGCTACACGTCTAACAACAAATGACATGTCAAAATAGGTTCCTCTTTCTATCACAGCTCAGTGTGTGACATGCCTTTTTTTAGGGAACAAAATGATCATGGTCTGTATTCTTTTATATCAAATGTTTTTTAACGCTTTTTACAAGAACAATGCATGTACCGCTGAGAGTGCAAATATTAGTGAATTTGTGCGTATTGAGCCTTCAATGGGTGTGTGCAATGATGCTGTCATGCTCTCACGAGGAAAGCAAAATGAGGGTTCAAATTAAGAGCCGAGGCCCCTTCGTGCTGTGTGAGCAGCAACAGATGTTCACCATAACTCATCACTTGACCTCTGTATTTCTGGCCCTTTTAGAGAATTTATCAGATTATCTCTTGTAACAGGAAGCAGCCAAATGTCTCCACAGATTAGTTTTGGCATGTGACAATAACATAATGTGTTCCTATAGATTGGCTCTCCTGTGTAGAAAACTAGAATAGTGTTTGAAATTATTTAATTTCTTATTGCAAACTAATTACAAACAATGTTATCCTCATAACACATCATAATAAGGAAAATATAAGCACTATATAATCAATTATTTTACATAAATCTGAAGGGTCTGTCTTAACAAAGGTTTTTCCACCATATTAAAAGTTCCCTCGTGTAAAATAACCTTTCAGAGGGTAGCAACAGGAAAAGTCTGCGTTTCCGTTCACATTATCTTTTTAATCAGTTTAATCAAAATGTGTGTTGAGGCCAATAGAAACAAACCGCCGCCTTGTTGTGCAAGGCTGAATGTCAGATTTCCTTCTCATGTGGGTTTGTTTGCAGTGTCTCTCCACTAGAGGGCGGATGGAGAAGCAGCGTCAGAAATACAGTCAAACACCGGAAGTTGGACGTGTTGGCCTTCAAAGTAAAAGCGTAACATTGGTTAAGGACGGAGCTCAATATCTAAATGACTTTACTGCCTTGAGAAAATATTGTTTGTTTCAGTGTATATTATTTAAAGTTACGTGTGTGTGTGACAAATTGAAAAAATAAACAAAAAATACGATTTGATTATTGATTAATGTGCTCATCACTTCACTGTTGCAGCTTTGGTAAATTTGCTCTGCTTTATATAGGCGCTACTGGGTAGCTTAACTTATAATAACATATGATAATATATGTGTAAATGTATATGTTGTATTAAACTAAATCTGCTAAATGACTTGTAACTTAATAGGTAAATACATGTAGTGGAGTAAAAAGTAGAAAGTAGCATCATGTGAACATTATAGAATAAAGTACAAGTAGGCTACCTACATAGGCTACTCAAGAACTAAAAAGTATTAGTTATTGAGTATGTAGTTACATTACATCAATGTTTATTGGTATGACCATCAAAACACAATTTTGTCAAACGTCATTGCGCAAGTTGATAGCTACAACAGAGCAACTACAAACAGCCTGGCTAATAATTGTATTCAATGATAAATCACGGTATGAACGAAACTGATGGATATCATCAAACCTTTCACAATGTAATGATGATGTAATATAAATGTATTGTTGTTGCCTACATAACAATATTGTCAATATCCTAACTTGACATCAAAAGCACCCCGGCAACGGTAGCCGAGGTAACAATACAAATGTGATTGAATAGAACCAAAGCATTTGTATCAATACGCTATTGCTGCATTTGTACCATTTTATTTTGGAAAGCATCAACAGGAAGTGGTCTTAATTTGGACGCTGGGGGGGCTTGATGATGGTAAAATGAGCCCGAAGCAAGTCAAGACTTTATGGGATGGGAACAGACGAGTGTGTCCCAGTGTTTTCCAGCTCCTGACAGTGTATTGTGACGGGCAGACACAGGAGGGATCCGCAGAGCTCATGCCGAGCAGCGGGCACACTGCAACCGGCGGGACAGTAGCCCTGCGGGGGTCTGGAAAATGGGAGCGGTGAAGTGAAAAAACGGCCGAGAAGCGGACTGTCTGGAGGAAAGGCACCAAAGTAAGTCCACGTAACTTTCTCGGTACAGAAAAGTAATGAAAAAGCAATTTTTTTTATATTTTTCACAAGTTTCTTTCCCTGTTTGTGAGAAAGTGGCTTTGTTAACTCTTCGTCTATCAGCAGTGTTACAATAGTTTCGGACACAGAGCTGTGGTCAGATCAGGTTTCACGGTTGCCTCTTGGTTTTAAGAAACCGCCCCTGCATGGTGTCCCATAGTTCTGGACTGACCATATCGTTAACCGCAAATTATTCACACACGGAGAAAGAAACGTTACGAAGTGTGCAAACTCTTGCGGTCCTATGCCCATAGTGGTGACATGTGGAGCTGTGATTGACAGCCAAGAGGGGCGGGGTAGACGTTAAAGTTGTTATAGTATAAGTACTCATAGATACACATGTGATAGGCTACTTGTTTTGGGTATTTTATCCAGAAAGGCTGCAGTGGAGTCCTCCGGGGTTTGCCACGTACAGCTGCAAGAAATTTGATCTGCGGAGGTGCCCATGCAGTGAGAGTACACCGGCCCGCCTCCTGGTTGACGTCCCAGGGCAGCGGTGCAGCGTGGTAATGCACAAAGGGCAGGACACATCGGTCACAGTTAGTCACACTTTTTATGATGTGGTAGTCTGAAAATCAGCTGGAGGCAGACTGTTAAACTGCAAAAAGAAGAGTTTAACTAGGGTTTCATGGAAAAGGTCCTTCTGATGGACCTATGAGTTAGTGGGGGTAGGCTACTCAGTAAAAGTAGAAAATACTAAATCTTAAAAAACACTCTGTTACCAGTTAAAGTCCTGCATTTAATTAATGTGTATAATTCTGCTAGATATCTTAACCTATAACCAATGTTTTTTTAAAAGATTTATATATAATATTGGCCATAAGCTTAGTATTAAACTAAGGCTGTCAGATAAATGTAGTGAGTAAAAAATACAACATTGTTTTCTAAAGTAAAGTGATGTAGAAGTTTTATTCCACCACTGGAAACATTGGTAGAATAATTATGTATGTTACTTGTTTTTAAGTAGCAATACTACAATGATAAAAGGTAAAGTATTATTTAAATAGGTATTACTAAGTATAAGTAGCAAACAACTTTATTTTCAAAAGTTAAAACACTAGTTTCAGAAAGACCCTATTTTTGTTATATCATTATATTTTGGATTATTGGATTATTAGTAATGCTAATTAATGGATTAATGATGAAATAAATTAAGCTACTTTGTAATACACATAGTTTAATTTGTAACATACTTCTCGCAGGTTTTGTTTATGTAAGATCTTAATTAACAGAATGTGAAACTAAAGCCAAAGTAGCATGAAATGGTACATATACATTCCCATAGGAAAAACACATAGTCCTTAAAAGTTTTGGCCAATTTATACTACTCTATTAAGTTAGAATACTTCAATATAAAATGTCTTATTGGGTCAAATTATAGGAACAGATACACCAATGTGTTGTCATAACTGGTACAGGCTTGATTCAGTTGGGGAATATATCCAAAATGACCAAAAAGACATAGGCCTTTTTACACATAAAAACAAGTCTGGGCACCTTCTTGCCAAGGATCACTCTACTGGGTAGTTATCTTATTTCAGTACATTACACTGTCTCATTGACAAAAGTGGTAATTAGACTCTGGCCATGCTTTAGCTGCACCTTCAGTGAATCTTTTACCACTTTCTGTAATACTGTCTCTTCTAACTTTGCTTGGATTTACTCTGATACATTTGATCAGTCTCCTTTCTTGTGAACCGATTTATTCACTGTAACTGTAGGCGTCCCATTGATGCACTCAAGTGTTTTAAAAACACTTGAGTGCCATCAGTTTCTTAGACTCACGCTTCCCCCTCAGTGTTGTGCATTCATTTGGCTTAACAGGATTAGTACGGCATCCATTTTTTAAATGTGATAGTTTTAGCGTTAAGATTTCATTTAGGGGTCTCAATAACATGAATAATAAACAACAGGAGGATTTTATAAATTGAAGGATCAGTGCTGTTTGAAAATACAGAAATGTGTTTATTAGGAGAACTAAGTTGATATTTTGAAGATTTACACTGCCATAAATGTGCAGTTTATTACTTCTTTGCACACATTTAGATAAAGAAATTCTAGCTGGCAAAACATCTTGTCAAGACATTAGATAAGTATGTATGAGTAATTAAAAGTGCTGTATTGTAATGGCTTTTGACACACTAAAGGATTTTGTCTCTACACTGACACCAAACTATGGTAATTGGATTATCACAGTAGGCGAGTTGGGCAAAAGTCTGCTTGCATTTGCCAGGAAATTATCCTTTTGTAAAAGAAAACACACCCTGCAAAGTAATCACTGCTGCGGGAAAGAAATAAATAAGAGCTAATGGCCGATGATCCTCTGAGAACAGCAGGATGCCAGGTTATGAGGTGCCAAAAGACCTCTGAAAGTGAGAAGGTGTTGGGGCGTGATATCTCACATGCATTTGCCAATTGTCCACTCAGAGGGTTTGCAGCTCGAACTGCCGTTGCCTTTTGGGTAATTGCAGTAGTTAGAATGTGTATGATTTGAAGGCAGCAGCAGTTTGCTGTTAGCTGACATTTATTGGCGAGAGGTCGAGAGGAACACCTGGTGCGCAGAGTTCACAATCCACGCCGAGGCAACAGATGGAGCAAATGATGCAGGAAAGAGAAGGCGGTCCAGACAAATGTGGCCACAAAACCACACAGAGGTGACGAGCAGCTGAAGGCCAGTGTGGTAGACATAAAGAACGTATAATCGCTCGGTTTTACTGGCAGTTTCCCATGTTTAGTCTGCATATTGCCTCTGTGGTTTCCTAACAAGGCTGATCCCTTTGAAGCCTGTAGTTTGCTTGAGGGGAGACAAAACTTGTAATTGCAGAGAAGACGGGGAAGGAGCTTTTATTATCGTAATTCACAACAGCTAATGATGTCATACACAAGAAGAGTTGAGCCGTTTAACTGTAAATTTGAAAAACATGTATCGACACATTATGCTGCGATAAACATAGAGAATTCATTCATCACGGTTAGACCTCTGTCCTTTTACGAGTGGTTTATTCTGTGGGCGGAGTATTTAGCTTCTGAGGAGCTCAACCAGAAAAAAAGCTTGTTAAATTCTGTTCAGTGAGTGAGAGATTTGTGTACTCAGCTCAATTTGACAGTCATAAAACTTGGCTGCTCGTGTTTGTTCAAAACCTGAAGCTGGAGAGACTCACTCAAAATAGAACAGAACAACTTTTAATTATTTAATTGAACAATTATTTGTTTCATTGAAGAACGAAAACAGGAATGTTGAGTTAAATATGACTCATCTGGGCATGTGATGGAGGAATGGAGAGGGTGTGGTCTCAATAGCCATGCAGTAGGCAGTGTGCTATGGCATGGATATTCAAGTGTACTTGAATGGCATCTGTTTGTTTTAGTCAAGATTATGCTAAAACATACTTTCCCCAACTACATTTAAGTTCCCTATGAAGAACCAACCTTCAATTTTGAAAATTACCCAGTTTATTCCTATAAATCCCCGTGGAAAGTTTCCATCTTTGAAAATTCCCGGAATTTTGCAACCCTAATGCTGATACACAATCACCGCTTTATATGTCTTATCTTTTTCTGACAATTAAAAGAAAGGGTGTTCACTGATAAAGGTGGCAGGTCACCTCTGTCACTGAGGGGAGAAGAGGTAAAGTCATCTGCCACTCTTCCATTGCCACATCATATTGACAGGGCCCTTTCAGCTGTCAGTCAACTGCAGAGATATGAATGCCAGCACATTATTATCCACTCTGCTGTTGCTCTGTGTGCCTCTATGGGGCTATCGTAAAGCACAACAGACAGACTGTACATGTGTTTTCACGAGACACAGTATTAACTGCAAGTCTCATCCCCTGTAAAGCCCTCTTGATAAGCACGTCTATGCCCTATTGACTTATGTAACTTTGTGTTGTGCATCTACATCTGGTGTGGCAGCAACATCAACAACAAGGCCTGCCGGTGGCCTTCTGCAATTCACACACACACACACACACACACACACACACACACACACACACACACACACACACACACACACACACGCATACCCACATAAGTGAGAGCCAAGGGATTTACCGAAACAACCTCGATGACGGGGGGGGGGGAGGATACCAACGAGATAACCAGTCGAGCGGGTTGAGACAAGACTACTCATTGGTAGGCATGTCGACCTTGTAGTCACTAATACACAATGTTCCGCAATGTTTGGTCTTTGCCGTGGTCATTACGTTGTCTATTCTTGACGACCGCACCCAGACACGGCACAAACCGCCCCTGCAACGCTCCGGAGTTGACGCACTCCCGCCTTGTCACACTCGAGGTAATGACCACAGCAAGCCCAACGGACACACCCAGACGCTCGTCGCTCTGTGTCGCTTGACGTCGGACTGATTCGGATGTGGGTACTTCGCCTTCCCCCCACGACTCCCCGACGGTCGGTGGGGTGGTAGACGCTCCGAAGGTCGGATCGTGGCATGGGGGTTTGAACGCCGTGATGTCACATTCGGCAGGGTCAAAGGCGTCGACGGTTCCCGAGTGTCGTCGGGGGGGGGGGGGTCGCGTAGTGTCAAAGCACTCCTCGAGGTGCCTAACCAGGGTAAACCATACCAGGGTGCAGTGACCATGGGTTCCTTCTTTTTTTCTTTAGAGGTGCTCGCAAGACCCCCGTCGTATCTGGGTGACATACAGACACAATTCTCAAATGAGGGATGTCCCACATAAACTCCCAAACACTGAAGACGTCTGGCAAAATGTACGTCTTGTGAAGTATTGGTGTTCCCCTGCCATTATTGGCTTTTCGTACTGTACCCTGGGAAATCTAAGTAAAAGTGATGTCCTGTATTATGAAATGTCTCATAAAAAGTGACACATAAGATGTAATAGACTTATGAGAAGTAGAGAACAAAAATTGAGGACAAAAGGGTTTAACTTTTTGTTCCGGGATGAAAAAATCGAGTGTCTGGGGGGAAGGGAAGGGTGATGGTAGGTTAGTGCCTCGGAAAAATTCTTAGAGGACTGTCCAAAACTATAGAAGACGACACGATTGTGTTGCTCCTCCCTACAGCTATACTAGACGAAGTAAGTAATATTAGTTCCGTTCCCTTCTCTCTTCTTATCTTTCGTTTCTAGCCTCTCCTGTCTCCCCAAACGACCATTATCTCTTAATTCTTCTCCTCTGGACGAGAAAACTTTAGAGGGGCCCCCTGCCTCGTATTGCGTCCCCGACTGTTCCCGAAATCGACCGATCGGGGGCTGAGAGACTGAGAGTACAGAGACCTTCCTCTTCGGAGTGAGCGTTGTTTATGGAAGTCGAGTTGGAGGCCGTACTGAGGGTGACTTATTGGGGAGAAGGTCTCAGTAGGGCTTTAAAGGAATATTAATTAATTAATTGAAATTAAACGGATTACTATATTGGGTGACACAAATTAGTTAACAGGAGGTTTTATGTGACCCTATTGTTTTAACTATTTTAACCCGGACTTGTATTTTTTTCGAAATTATCCCAACGTATTATATATCAAAAAGGTAACTATGGATTAATAGTTATTAGTGGACGAAGAATTACAGCTACGTCAAATTTTCTATTAAGTGGATTAAGGTTTGATTAATAAAGATTAGAAAACAAAATACATTTGATGCCAAATCTTTCCGATTCAACATCATCGTTTCAAGCTATAAGAAATCGAGACTGGTTTGGTTAACAATTTTGTTGGTTTTTATTTCTAAAATATTTACATATAACGTAATAATTAATGCTAAAAGGAAGAAGAGAAGGCATGCGACATATAACCATCTAGTTTTTGTGAAACCTTCACCCTTTGACATGACATAACATTACACATTTATTAAAACGAAAGCCTTAAGAACCTTGGGGAGTAAATAGTCGGACTGAATAGGGTAGGTATGGTAGGTAGGTAAAGGGGCGAATAGGCCAACAGGCCCAGCGCCTCCCCATCCGTCAAAGGTCGTCTCTCGGGGTTTGAAAGAAAAAGGCACCCGGTGTTAGTTGGTCGAGACTGACCCCCTTAGGGTTCCCGGTGAGGGGTTCCGGTCACTTCTCTATATAGGGAGGTGGACCAGGATCCAGGAATGGGGAACCCAGAGAAGGCTTGACCCTGCAGACCTTGGTGGAGGGAATTCCCTTCCGGCGGGGTCCACCCGGTTAGGGATTGATACGGGTTGGTTGGAGTTTGACGAGGGAAAGCTATGCGCTTCCTTCTCGCCAAGTTGGAGGGCTCAGAGGGCCCTAACATTGGCTTCGAAGATGAATTAGGGATTCCTTTCTTGTTTGCGTCGGGGACACCTCTTTGGGTAGAGCCGGGCGAACATAGGCGCTAGAGCAAGAAAGCCAGTACTGGGTAGGGAAGTTTACTGGTACTAAATAATAGCTAAATTATTATTATAATTTATTGTAAATAATAATTTGGGCCAAATTATAGGACGAGAGATGAAACTTCGATAAACAGTAGTATTTAGAGAGTATTCCCGTTATGTTGGACAGGATTTCCCTTATGTATACAACGACCATTATTAGGGGTAGAGAACCTTGGGGAACTCCAACTGAGTGTTTTCATGTCTCTGGTGGGGCGCAATGCTGGCGTTCTATAGTGAGTTCGTGGTCTAAATGAGACGCGGTTCACCTTAGTAACAACTCTTACCACAACTCCCCGACGGTTGTAAAATTCTTCGCTGCCCCTTTATAAAGGGTAGATTACCCACCCCACGGGCTGTTCCTTTAATTTATTTTTGGAGAAAGAATTCGACCACTCAGAACTTTTCTCTGAACCCAGCGAGGGAAGTGTGCAGAGCCGGGTTTTACTAAAATTCTTTCGTGTTGCTCTTTTTCCATTATACAAGCAGGCACGGACTCTTAGGGGTTTCTAACCCTTGTTGAAAAATACTACTCTCGTCGCAGGACTGTGGGGTTGGGAGGAAGGGGAGCGGTGTGTCTGTGTGTTGGTGGAGGAGGAAGAGGCACAGACTATTATAATAAGATTGGACGAGTCCCTCGAAATTGGAAGGGACGTGGTTTATGTGAGGACCCTAAACGTTAGGTGTGGTTGTTCCTGTCACCTTTCATGATTATTATAGTGTCAGTTTCCGTCTCAAGGATTAGCAGAAGGGGTGGTAAATAAGTTCCCCAAATTGTTGTCCTTTATTTAAATACGGATATTTCTAGGACTCCTCATAGAAGAACAATGAGAGTAGAGTAGTACGGTGTGAGCCACAGCTTTAGTCTTGATTGCGGAGACCATTTACATGGGAGATGAACAACGCTACAATTCCGTAAAGACTGTCAGTTTATAAACGTCAGGAGTAAATCAGTTCGTCCCCAGTGTCACACAGCGTGTAAAGGGACGTAAAGACTGACCGGGGAAGTCAGGGTCCATATAGATTATATTCGAGATTAGACGGGGTCGGCGTCATTAGGCGTGGGTGGTAAAGGGGTATCATAAGGATATGTGGAGTCGATGGGGGGGAGTGTAAACACAACCACACACCACACACACACACACAACACACCACAACACACACACACACCACACACACCACACACACAAACACACACACAACACAACACACACACCAACCACACACACACACAACACACACACAACNACATGTCTTCCGAGTCACTTGCTTCAGAAGCGAGGCAAGAATACTTCCTGGTATTCGGAAAACGAAGAGTGGAACAGGCTAGCAAGTGTGCAGGTGTGCGTCATATGAGAGGCCCCGCCTTACATTTTGCGCAAAGCATTGTGGGGATTTTAAGACCACGGAGTCTACACATGTGCACCCTCGAAATTTCCCCCAAACCAAGGACGCGGCCTCGGTGGAATTCCAAGTATGCTGGACATTGGAACGCTCCTGCTGCGCCACTTGATGACGTAGCATCCTTGAAATATTGGCTTGGAAGCCAATATCCTCGCAATTGAGAAACGGCCTGTGTGAGTAATGTAGATTTACCCAGAAGCCCTTTCACTCACGGGTAACTCTGAATATCTTCCTCTCCTCTCAGGTCCGGATGCAGGCGTTAAAGTGTTTCTCAGTCCTGGCTTATGAGAACACTCAGGTCTCCATGACACTGGTGAATGGTGAGCGTCTCTTGTCTCTTTTCACTTCTTCTCTTGTCCCTTCATTTTTGTTTATTCACCATTTCGTTGTCGTCCTTCTTCAGTTTGCTCTTTCTCACTTTTCTTTGTCTCACTTTACATTTCCCTCCCATCTATTCTTCACTTTTATTCTCTTAACTTCTCTTCTGTCCACCGATCTTATTTTGTGTTATCTTGTTTCATAATTCTACTTCTCTTTTTACTTTCAGTCTCCTCTCCACTTGTCCTCTATTCTCAATATCTTACCTAATATTTACTAGGGATGCTCCGATCGATATCGGCCGATACTCACTCTCTGCCGATCGATCGATCTACTTTTCTCTGTTCAGCCCTAGTATCTACCTCTTAAAAGTTGTAGGTTTACAAGTCGAATTTCTAACAGTATTCCTGTCTGATATTATTATATTTTTCACACTTTAAGCTGGAGTTCCTCTCTGTCTCTGTTCGCTCTCTCTCTCTCTCTCTCTCTCTCTCTCTCTCTCTCATTCTCTTCTCCTCTATACGTTCCACTTTCTAACCCCAGTTCTCCTGTTTCTGTCACCAGTGCTGGTGGATGGTGAGCTGCTCTCTCAGGTATTTGTCCGAATGATGCAGAGGGATCAACCCATTGAAATGCAGCTGACGGCAGCCAAATGGTGAGTGAAATAAATCATTTAGAATATACGACTCCTTTACACGCTTTCTTTGAGTGTGACGTCTCCTCCTTTTGTCTCAGTCTAACGTACATGTGTCGAGCGGGCGCCATCAGGACGGACGACAGCTGCGTGGTCCTAAAGGTCAGGATTTTCTGTCACTTACATTGTTATTATTTTCCTATAAAGTGAAGATTTGTTTACCTACTTTTAATACATTCTCTGATAGAATAGCTGTAAAAAACATTATTCTGATTATTTTGATGATGATGATGATGATGATGATGATGATGATGATGATGATGATATACCAGTAGAGGCACTAAAGATAAGAAGTACTTTATTGATTCCAAGTTGGGACATGGCATTGCACAATACAATTAAAATACTAGAAGTAAACATTTAAAAATGTCAACATATCAATAGCAATAAAAAAAGTAGAACATGTTAAATTATAAATGTACTGTGACAAAATATAAAGCAGGATATTATATAGACATAAGTATGTGAGTAATGGAATATTAAATATTAGATTTCTTCCTTATTGTTAGAGAAAATATCACTGGTCTTTTTCTCAATCTAAAAATTATGACTTTTTCTCAAAAATCAGACTTTTTCTCAAAAATCAGACTTTTTCTCAAAATTCTCAAAATTATGATTTTTTTTCTCAAAAATCTCAAAATTATGACTTTCTCTCCAAATTATGAATTTTTCTCAAAAATCTGACTTTTTCTGAATACTTTAAAATGTTAATAATCCCTGGTCCCCGGCTTCATATTCAATCTCAGGATCCATGTATCTGTGATCCTCTCCAGAATGGAAGTAGTCATCACATACAGAGCATCAACTAGTTCCTGAACAGTGTCCTTCACATGCTGATATCCAAGAGAGGGAGTTACACAGTCACAAGATGGAGGAATAGAAAGCAGTATTCAATGTTTACTTCAGATTAGCTCCACGTCAGAAATGATCATGCTTGTCATATGTCTCTCTCCATAGAGGCTGAATCATCATGTTAATCACATAGCTATCATATGCCTCAAACAGTCCTGATGCTCTTCTAGGTAATCACACATCCTGTCATGTTCACAGCTACAGTTGGGATACCTCTGTTAGCATGTTACTCTGATATTGGAAGAAGACATTCAGTATTTTCCCAACACTGATCTAACGTTACTTCCTGTCCTCCTTGCAGACGCTGCCTTGCCTGGTGCGGATGTGCAGTAAAGAGCATCTCCTGGAGGAGAGGGTGGAGGGAGCGGAGACGCTGGCCTACCTGATGGAGCCCGACGTGGAGCTGCAGAGGATCGCCAGCACCACCGACCACCTGGTGGCCATGCTGGCCGACTACTTCAAATACCCCAGCTCTGTGTCGGCCATCACTGACATCAAGAGGGTGGGTCAGCGGCCTGAGTGGGCCCTCTTTATGGGATTAACAAGGTTTAAAAGGGCAGATATTTAGTGCTTTATTACACAAACAAGACTTAAAGGGGACCTATCACTCAAAATGAACTTTTTGATGTCTTTTCTAAATCACCATGTGTCCCCGGTGTCAGGGAACTCACGCAGCGTCAGAAAATAAAACCCTCTCTATTTTCCTCCGTACCCAAATCTCTAAAAACGGGGGTACTGTGTCGGCCATCACTGACAACAAGAGGGTGGGTCAGCGGCCTCAGTGGGCCCTCTTTATGGGATTAACAAGGTTTAAAAGGGGCAGATATATAAAAGCAATAGCTCACTTCAGGCCGTGATATATACTCATTATATCACAGCTAAGGGGGTTGTCGACCCTCCGCAAAACGGTTACCAAGTGTGCCAATATGAAAGAAAAATACACACTCTAATTTAAATAGTTTTTATTAGTAAATAATGATGTTCAAAATAAAATAGTCCCTCCGTTGCCTTCTGCACAAAACATTGTGCGACGTGGTTGCTATGCAACAACACTAACAGCAAGCGAACATATTAGACAGAGAGCGTTGATCCATTATTTGGCTGTTTATTTACATT